AATTCGCGAGATTTCTACCACAATTTGGAAAAAAGTTTTTCTTTCGGTTTTGATATTCTAACTATTATCCATTTTCAAAAAAAAGGCGGTTGAGCATTTTTTTAATAACTTTTGCTAGGAACTAGAGAGAGAGGTCCGGTTTTCATCATTACGAAGACAAGAGCGGGGTACATAATATGTGCTAAAATCCTATTGGTTGGTAATGGACCAATCAAATACATTCTTAGTGAACATTTTGAACTCGTTATTCTGGAGTCATTTCGCAACTTTACTGAATTATGAATTTACTTGTTTTATAGGAAAACTTGTTCTCTATCGATCTGCAAAAGGCCGACCTTTCTAGCTGGCTCCGCTGGAGAGTTATAAGGTTTTTTCTGAGACCCCTGATTTTAGCAAATTGGCCTGAGATCACCCGGAAAGCCACTTAGGACGGGATAATTCCTCATACTGAGTCAAATGGTGATGTTTTTCTTTTGGATTCGAAATGATCTGACACTGTTATATCAATATTTCAGAAATGTCGACTCATTTGATGTATATAGCGGTAGATTTTGTGAATTTTTGAAAATTCTTAAATAACACCATCAGATCATTTCGAATCCGAAAGAAAAACATCACCATTCGACTCAGTATGAGGAATTATCCCGTCCTAAGTGGCTGTCCGGGTGATCTCAGGCCAATTTGCTAAAATCAGGGGTCTCAGAAAAAACCATATAACTCTCCAACGGAGCCAGCTAGAAAGGTCGGCCTTTTGCAGATCGATAGAGAATAATTTTTCCTATCAAACAAGTAAATTCATAATTCAATATAGTTGCGAAATGACTCCAGAATAACGAGTTCAAAATGTTCACTGAGAATGTATTTGATTGGTCCATTACCAACCAATAAGATTTTAGCACATATTATGTACCCCGCTCTTGTCTTCGTAATGGTGAAAACCGAACCTCTCTCTCTAGTTCCTATCAAAAGTTATTAAAAAAATGCTCAACTGCCTTTTTTTTGAAAATGGATAATAGCTAGAATATCAAAACCGAAAGAAAAACTTTTTTTCAAATTGTGGTAGAAATCTCGCGAATTCGCCCATAAATGATTTTGTAAAATCACTAGACTTTTTTCAATTGTTTTTCGAGAAAGAAGAGTTACGTCAATGTGAGAGAATGAGGCGGAATGAGACGAATTTCTAGTCATCCTACGGAGCTCTAATTCGAGTGTTCGAATACTCAACTATTCAAAATGCTGAAGTTTACGAAAGAGCACTTGCGTTTTTAGAGTTCTGAGTATTTCAAGTGCATATAACTCGTATATGCTTTTCGGCATGTACTAATGGTAATGTAATCCGTTTTCTATATTCTTTTTAATGTGTCCGTGTTTGTTAGCACCCATACTTGATGTGATCGGTTCTGTACGTACGTATAAAATTTGAATAGCTGAAACAACTATTCGAGTTTTGAGGTGTATGTTTATTTTAAATTGATTTCTAAACAGTTCTTAAATATTTAATAATTTAGAAATTTTTATTTTTCTATGAGAAAATTTCTAAAACTTTTCAACTAGTTTTTATTTTATCTGAACATAAAAAAGCTTGAATAATAGAAAATAAATTGGTAATCTTTAGTTTTTATTTTCATATTATTTTAAGTAAATAATATTTTATAGAAAAAATAGAAAGTCATTTTTTTAAATATTATTTCAATATTGATTTTTAATAAAAATGAGAAATAAATTGAATATGTCGAACAACATATGTAAGGATTCTTCTTGTTATGTAAGTTTATTTATTTGTCTATACTATCTATACTGAATAGTTCAAAGGGTAATATTATTATATATAGTGTTTTTAAAAATGAAAAAAATTCAAATTCAATGAAATATTCTCATTCAATAAATCAGTAAAACGATAAATCTTTACCGGATCCATAACACCAAATGATATTCCCCAGATAAATGTTGTTAAAAGAAAAACAATAACATCGAATTGTTTGCATAATGGAATTAGTAAATGAATCTTTGATAAATTATTTTTCGTAGTATTATCCTCATATTGATTATTATCAGGAGAAAAATCCTTGAATTCTTTTCTACGAGACTTATCCGAAATAATTCGTTTAGATTGTTTAAAATTATCAGATCTGAGCTTAATTAAACTTGTACTAATTATACAAATAATTGTAGACATAATAAATGCTAATATGTAAATATATTCTTTTTTAAAATATAAATAAAGTCGACTAACAATAAACGCCGATGTTCCAGAACCTAAAGTACCCCAAGCACGTTGTTTGCCAAATATATTTGGATTATCTAATGCAACAAATGTAATTGTTGTTGATAATGTTGTTGCTATTGAAAAAAGAACAAGACCAATCATTATTAAAAATGTATATAGTAATACATATAGAGTTTGATTTGGATAACGTGATGAAAAACAAATATTTTCTATTGAACATCGAACATAACATATTGCAATTTTATCATATAAATTTATTGATGACTGATCAGTATCGTCAAACAAATCTTTAAAATAAAATTAAATAATTTTTTTTAAATAAAAAAAATCAAATATATTTTCCTTTTACAAAAATAACTTTATCTTTTAACTATTCTTCATAAATAACAACTAACGGTAGTCATCAGAATTCGCTTGACGCTCGACTGAACTTGATCTAATCATAATCTGTTCTTACTCACTGCATTCTAGTTTGAGAATCATCGCTGAACACACATGCACATAAAAAATGTTTATAATATTGTCCGAGATAATCGTTTTGTAAAAAGATCGAAACTATCTATTTTCTCTTGCAATTTTCTTAAATGAATTTCAGCATATAGTTCGTATTCAGTCATCGGTGATCCTATGGGTCGCCGCTCCTGAATGTCTAATTTCGTGCGCGATTGGTTATAATTTATAGGAGTGTATTATTTTCTTGTTCAGAACATATTTTGGTAATACCGAAGAAATTCATCAATATCCAGTTGTTACATATCGGGTGACCAACAATGGGTGGCTGCATTGTGTATGCCATATTTTAATCACTAAATACGTTTTGTTAAAAAAAAAGCATTACAAGATGCACCGTAAAAACTTCTACAATCTACAAAAAAAACCTTATTTTAATTGTGTACTTTTTCCTTTTATGAAAAAAATACATTAAGTCTTCCTAAGTTATTTTCTTTTGAGATAGTTAACATCAGTTTTAGATTAGTGTTATTTTTTCTTATTCTTCTCAATATGATTATAATAGAAATGTTCACTTTATCATAAGATTTTTAATAATCAACAAGCCATTATTCAACATAAGATAAATATAAAAATCCCACTCTATTTCAGATTGATTTATAAGAAAAAAAATTACTTTTCAATATTTACTATATTAATAGAAGATTTATATATATTGATTGAATTTTACTTATCAAAAAAAATGTTTCTATTAAATAAAGTGACATTCATATTTCAGCATTGATCTTTTTTTCTCGTTAACGTTTTGACGACTGGTGGTGCATATATGTACCACTTTTTTGATTTTGAGTTATACTTGTGCTGTGCCTTCTGTAACTGCAGTCTGAGCGCTTGTTTTTATATAGAACGTGACCGTTGTTGCGCTAAAGTCCTTCTTCCTCCACAATAGAAGACTCCGGTTTACTATTACGTCCAAGCGTGAAAAACTTCCTAAGGAGGTCTTCTATTGTGTTCCAACTTTAATACAATTTCTTATTAAAAAGATTTTTCAGGAAACCAAAAGGATTTTTATTGTTTCAGAAGGCATTTTTAGGGTTTTAAAAGTCCAGAAATAATGCTAACCTCAGTTTTTTAGGATTTTCACCACAACATCCTGAAAACTAGGCATATTTTGATGTAAATATGCTCATTAAAGTTCCAAATTTTCGAAAAAATTAATTAATTAAGAAGTCCTTCTATTGTGTGGCGGGAGGGGGGTGGGAAGAGCTTTAGCGTAACAACGACTACATCCTATACGAAAACAAGCATCAAGATCAAAGTTAACAGAAGGTACAGCACAAGTATAACTCAAATAAAAAAACTGGTACATATATGTACCACTGACCGTCAAAGGGTTAAACAGAAATGTGCTGAGCGAGAATTCTAAAAAAACAATTCTACTCTTCTCCACGGCAGTGTTGCATCCGGTAAAAGTGAACATCCGAACCGGTCGATATGCATTTTTTTCCATTTTTCATATTTTTTTTTCAAAAAACTGACCACAGTGATGTTTCGTTTTGCATATTAAACTCGTTTGACCGAGATCAATGACTATTTCTCTTGAGGAACATCAATTAGAATATTTATATTAAGTGAATATTTATCCAAATAGACCATTGGGATTTTATTAAGTAACTTCGATATTCAACTTATATTATAGAAATAAAATTGAATGAATCTTTCTCATTAGAATTTATTATATATTTATCAGAGAACGAGGCAGGACCTGCAGGACGCCTAAGTATAGATGTTGAGAGTAGCGTAACCTAACAATCAGGTCGAGTAGTGTAACATAAAGCATGTTCAAGGTTAGTGTAACTTTATGGTTAGAAAATATTTCCCTAGGACCACAGAATGAGAAAAAAACTTTACTTGTAAACCTTCTCTTGATACTATTTTGCTACTTATCAATTTTAGGACCCTTCAGGTTAATGCTGTATAAGAAAAAGTAAGATGAAAATTTTGTTGAGTAAGGTACGATAAGGTTATGATCATGGTTTTTCATTCATGATAGAGTACCACCAACTCAAATTGATAGCATATTATTTATTCACTCATACGAAAAATTCAAGAACAAGCAGTATGAAGAAAGTTTATCCTTTCTCATTCATATCTGTTTCTATTTTGGATCCGATATCCTTCTATTTTTTTTTGTATTCTTTTGTTCACATTAAGGATGCTATTTTTTCATTCATTTTTTTCTAGTGGAACACGTGTGATAAGTTTATTGACGAAACCTTATAAATGATCTTCATGTGATTAGTAATTTTATATCATTTACCATTACACCACAGAAACAAGTTTTTATCCTTGTAAAAAATAAAATGACAACATCGACTGGTAGGTTAGCATGTCGGACGGAATACTTCATATCCTGTCCTGCGTCCTGCAAAACAGGACGACAGAATAATTGTCCTACGGCAGACAGGACAGAATGAAAAACATCGTCGTGTGACGTTCTCTGATGTCTATTTTAATATTCTATTATTAATAGTATATCTTTCGCAAAGACAAAATAAAGGGTAGTCAGAAAGTTTCGACCCCTCTCTGTAAATTGATGTTATCTACATGAATACATATGTAGATAGTTGATTGAAATATACAGTTTTGTAGAGAATGAGAAGGGCTATCATCTGAAAAAAAGAT